TTTTGTTTGAAGGAGGAAGATTTTTGTGAAACTTTATAGATGAGCATATATGTTTAATTATCTCAACTGAACCACCCACCGAACCGACAGAAACTACAATTGCGACAAATGCGAAAAATCATTCAAAACCAACACGAACTTGCGTACTCACGCACTCCCGCTCTGTGGAAATTCTCTTGCAGCATGTTTATAATTACCTAATATTGGTAGGTAAATTACCAATACCGTATCGGCCTCAACAGTAAATGCCCCCGAAGTACTTTTTTAGGGAGGAAGGAAAATATCCGTTCTGCATAAGAAACGAGACCTTATAACAAACTAACCCTACTCGTCCGAATGAAATACTTGAGGAAACAATGAAAAAAGCGACCGTCGCCAATGAACTCAATATAAACAACCCGTCGCAGGCATTGAACCACACGGTCCCAACGTTAATACCCTATATTATTACAATTTTTCATCTACTGCTATGATTGATTTGACAGAAAATATAACCTCAACCTCTGAAAAGGGAAACTGTGAGACAGAGCAGAAAATGTCTCATTCTTTTATTCACTCAATTTCTTCCACATTGATTCTAGTTTGATTCTAGTAATAATCAGAGAAGAATGAGAATAGCTGTAGCCCAATAGCACAGCCAATAGCCCATTTCATTGTAGCCCATAGAAGCAATGAACTGTATGTAAGTTGTATTGAGTTCATTGCATAGAAGACAAAAAAAATGAATTGACAGCGTTCTCGCTTCTCGTTGACATGTGACACTAAACTGGAGGTTAGAAGATTGAAAACAAAACTTTTGTGAAAAAATACTTTTGAACGTCGTTTCTGAGAGCAAATTTTCATCCAATGTCGTCTATGACCTTTGGCCAGAAGACTTTTACACCTACTGCACCAGAAAAAGGAAGTTTTCCATTAGATCATGAAGGACTCTGTAGAAAACTGATGGTCAATTACATGAAATGTCTTTATACCAATAATAACGATAATTCTGCATGCCGGGAAGAAGCTAAAGGTTATTTATCTTGTCGTATGGAAAATAATCTTATGATCCAGGAAGATCTATCGAAATTAGGATTTTCATCACAAGAACATCAAACTGAACATCAAACTTCTTCATAAACTATGGTGAAGATTCTAATAGGGTGTACAGGTAGTGTTGCTACAATAAAATTGCCAGTTTTAATTGAAACAATTTCCAAAGGAAAAGGAACTTTTTCTTCTGAAATTGATGTGAGTTGAATCTACTTGCCTTACTGACTAGTGTGTGTTCACCTATTGAAACAAAACAGACCAAACATCTGATTACTCATTCATTGAAGAGGAATATTCTCAGATGAAATTATGAACATAAAAAAATTGATATATACCTAAAGAAATACATACAATTCCCATTCTCTATGTGATGAAAATAACAATTCTTTCTTTGTTTATTCAACAGAAAACAACAACTTTCCTGGCTATATGCCAAATCACACATGATGAGAATTTGAGAAGAAAATCTTCTTTAGTTGATAATTTGCATTCTTCTCCCTCAGATAAAAATATTTATATGCACATATCATTCTGAATATGCTACTTTCCTGGCTATTTGCCATGTCAAACATTGAATTATATCTGTTGAACATCCAAAAGAAGAGCATCAAAAATGAAAATGCTCTGAAACTGAGAATTGATATTCTCTCTCAAATCTGATAAAATAATATGATGTATTATGACATATAAAAATATAACTTACCTTACCAATATGTTCAGTAGCTATTGAGATGAAAACGTATAGGATAAGTATACTTGTTTACACTCTGATCTTGATGAGCTTGGAACTTTATGGGAATTATATCTCTCACAAATAGGTTATATGACTTCATTCAGATCAACTCATTTCAGATATCTAATCCTCCATCAGTAACCTGAAGTCCAGTACTTAATTCTTTCAGCCATTCTTCATGATATAACACAATTTTCAACAGATATAATTCAATGTTTGACATGGCAAATAGCCAAAATCTGTGCATATACATATTTGTATCTGAGGGAGAATGCAAATTGCAAAAAACATCATGTGTGTTCAATAGATATACAGGGTGATTCGCATAAGAACCAACATAGAGCAGGGGCATGTAGGGCAAAATATGGCAATTTAACGCAACTTACCTCTATACCAAGTTGCTTCCCTAAGGAGTTATAGGCTTTGAAAGTGAAGTTATAAATTTTGAAAAAAATCAATATCTCCGTTATTCTTGAATTTAAAGCAACCAAATTTGGTACACTTTGTGTATGTATTTAGAGCGTTACTCGACAGTAACTAGAGTTCAATTGAAATTTGTAATGGGAGTATACCGGGTGGCGCACCATTAATATTCAACAGAATTTTGTTAATCCTTGATAGTTTTTAAAAATCTTCGCTTCATTGTGTGGGCAATTCAATTCTGAAACTTTTCTTACTCCAGTAATTTTTCGAAAAACCTCATCATTTTCAGCAAAAACTCGAATAACTGAAAACGCGCGCTCTAGGTGTGTTATTTAAAATTATCGAATATTCAAAAGTTGGCTATGAAAATAAACGTACAACAAAAAAGTAGGTCATTAATTGTGATCAGTAGAAATTGGCTGTCAAATTATCATTTAGATACGTAACAAAATACGTAAAGTAAGTACAGATACTGAAATGTGAAAAACTGGGATTAACAACCAACCAAAATAAACACAAAAAACTTAAACAGCAACCAGAACAAACAATTGTTTATCGATAAATTACTTAATTGAATAACTTACTTGCTTCATTGTCAAGTTTGACGTTTATTTTCATAGTCAACTTTTGAATTTTCGATGATTTTAAATAACACACCTAGAGCACGCGTTTTCAGTTATCAGAGTTTTTGATGAAAATTATGAGGTTTTTACGAGAAATTACTAGTCTAAGAAAAGTTTTAGAATTGAATTGCCAACAAAACAAAGCAAAGATTTTAAAAATCCATCAAGGGTTAACAAAATTCTGTTGAATATTAATGGTGCGCCATCCGGTATACCCCCTTTACAAATTTCAATTAAACTCTAGTTACTGTCAAGTAACGCCCTAAATACATCCACAAAGTGTACCAAATTTGGTTGCTTTAAGTTCGAGAATAACGGAGATATTAATTTTTGTTCAAAATTTATAACTTCACTTTCAAATCCTATAACTCCTTAGGGAAGCAACTTGGTAAAGAGGTAAGTTGCGTTAAATTGCCATATTTTGGGACCCCCTACATGCCACTGCTCTATGTCGGTTCTTATGTGAATCACCCTGTATAATTAATTCAATGTTGGTCATAGGAAAGTGGTTGTTTTCTGTTGAATAAACCAAGAAGGAATTGATATTTTCAGATATTCTCATCACATAGAGAATGCAAATTCTCAATGTATATTTTTTTATGTATCTATTAATTTTTTATGTTCATAATTTTATCTGAGGATATTCCTTTCCAATACTTTCACCCAATGAAGGGGTTCAAGCTTGAAACATGGAAACCTGTTATTTTTATAGCCCTTCAATCACAGACTCCTGATTAGGTTTTATCAATTCAGAATTTCTTATTTCCATGTCCTGTATGATTTCAATTTGTCATTCATCCAAAAACATTCACATATCGAAATACTTTGAAAAAGATATCTCCAATAATAGGTATACTTTTTAAGGTACTGAATCAAGTTCCTATATAAACTGTCTCAAATTTATATATATTTTTTATCGATTGGAGCGCACGAATATTTGATTTCAGTATGGGGTTCAACAAAACTATCAATTACGAGGGGGAAACAACTACCCAAAATGTGTACACCCTATTTAAATATCTGGTAATTAAAAAGTACGTAAAATACTTAAAACTGGTATTTAAGGTACTGTTAACAGGTACTTTAATACTGAAGTACTTATAACGAGACTTAAAAGCTTATTAAATTGTACTTAATGTATTAAAAATGATACTTGAAGTACTTAAAATTCCATGGTGTACTGTACACCTATTTGAAGAGTTGTTTCCCCCTCGATCAATGGGCTTATATCACAAAAAAAATTTATTTCATAATTTCATAGAACTCACCCAAACTAGCTCACCACCGCAAACCGTTTCTTGCTGTGAGCTCCCTACGTTTTATAAAAAATTATTGAAATCCCCGAATTTTCGGACCTCTGAAAACGAGGCGATGATGGGACGTCAAAACCCTAATACTGAAACAAGACTATTCCAGACAGAGATGAATGATACATGATTTCTGACATAGTGAATTAGCATGAGATCACAGTTGAAAGAATTAATATATCAGTTGCCTCAGTCCCCATCGGGCGTTTGGTATTTTCTTTTAACTAAGGCGAGATGAGGTTTCTATGTCATAAGAGGGTCCGTTTTCAGAAGGTACTATTATTTATGTCCAAAAATAAAACATTCCAGTTAATTTTTCGTTAATCATTATTTATGTATAAAAGGATCATCATAAATAAACATGGTTTGAGTTAAAAGTTCTACTAAGGTGTACACGCCCATTATAAAGCCTCAAAACTCTTCAAAATAAAATTATCAAATGTATATATACAGACTGAATTATTCCAAACCTACTATGTACCTTTACAGAACAAGAAAGTTATTAGATATGGATTCACTATATAAATTCAAATTAATGTCGTTCATTCGTTCAGTTAAACATTGTCAAAAGCATTCAAATTTGGTTTTCCAAATCAATAGTTATCACCACAACAATACAACTAGACAAGCAGATCATTTTTCTATCAAGAAAATTTAATCTGATATTGGTTAAAAATCCATCTATCACAATGGAATGATACAATACAATTCACTACCAAATAACTTGTAGCTGAGTAATAGGATTGAAAAATTTAAAAAAGAATTCAAGAGATATCTACTCCTGTAAAATTGACATCTTATCTCATTTTTATAAATTTCTTGTACAACTTCTATAGTTTTCTATTGGGTACTTAATAGCTGAGTCAATTGAGAATCATTTTCAGTTGAACTTGGAAAAAAAAAGTTTCTTCTTGAGTATGAGTCTTATTTTACTGTCTTCTTTATTTTATTTTGTCAAATATATTTATGTATTCACCATGTTCGCTGCTATAAACATTGGGAATAATAAAGTTGATTGATTGATTGAAAAAAAAAGACTCGTCTAGGGGAAGGTAACCTATTGACATTTCCCCCTTAAGGAGTCTGGCAATGCATGAGCCAGTGATATTTTTTAGGAATGAACATGTAATCAGGTGATGGTCTGTTGCATTATAAATGGTTAACCCTATATTATATCATATTACTAGCATGTTGTGTAATTTGCTCAGGAATAGAATCAGTAAATCAATTTGTCAAGTATTATTTTTCAGGTTCGCATCTGTTTGACTGAACATTCTAAGCATTTTCTTCAAGATACAGATTTAAATGATGTGTGTATCTACTCAGATTCTGATGAATGGGCTGCTTGGTCTAATAGAGGTGATCCTGTACTTCACATAGAACTGGCCAAATGGGCTGATATCCTTCTCATTGCTCCTCTAGATGCTAATACATTAGCAAAAATTGCCAATGTATGTATATTATCCACTTATTTTGGCACATTGTCTAAATATTAACAATAATCTTCATTTTTCAATTTAATTTCTCAAAGTAGGTATACAACATAAAAAAAAAATCATACAATGGCAAAAAATAGACACTTAATTCAGGTAAATAAGGTGAAATAAGGAATAGATCTACTTTGTGAGCCTCTGTAATATTTTATGAAAACTGAATGAGTATAATAATCAATGTCACAAAGATTCATTATTTTTTGTTTTGCCATAATAGTTATTTATGTACCTAGGATGAAAAACTGTCTATTATAGTCAAGGCTGCAAATTGATAGCCAAGGCCTTTGCCGAGGCTAGCAATCAGAGGCTAGTAATCAGGGGAGACAAAAGACAGTTTTTCGCCGAGGTGCATATTAAATTCGACCTCAAACATTTATATCCACATCTTGGTCTTATTCACATGTTATATCTATGGAATTTCCTGAATAAATAATTTGACAACAGCAAATGACAGTTGTTGTCAACACATCCTCCTTGCAGACCAGGGTTGCTAGTTCAGTTTTTATTTCATCAGTAAATTCAGATCTATTTTATGCTATACAAATTCCAAGAAAGGATAATGAAATAAACCTCTGAATTCAAAACATGTAATTTTAGTATCTGAAAAGTAACCTATTTGAAAATACTCACAAATATGACAAAATATAGTTACATAGGTACGCATAGGTACTTATATAAGATTAGAGTATATAAAAAACAGAAACGAAAAATTATACATAATAAACAAACTGTTATAACAGGGGTAGGTATATAAAAAATTCAATTCAATCTGGTTTATTGTCATTTTTTTGGTTCATACATGTCATCAGACCTATAGGTAAATTTTTACTTATTTTGTGAAATTAATTCAAACAGAGCCGAAATATCATGCAGCCTACAAGTGTGTGATTAGGTTAATATGGATAATATAGGTAATTATAATAATAAATGAGTGTCAAGATATTTGTCAGTAGGTTATAAAATGTTTCAGTAGATCAGTACTGAACATTCAGAACTGGCAACCCTGCAGCGGATGAAAATTTAGTGTCTGCGGACGAAAAGTAATTACCATCGGAAATAGTCGGTTTTTCGTTCGGAAATTAGATCGTAAAATGTGATTTTTTGTAGAAGGCGACGAAAAACATTATTTCCAGAAAATATTTTTTCAGTTTAATATTTCTCTACACACTTTCATTATTTTATTTTCTTTTTAGTTGGCTATCTATAATAACACGTTTCATTAGTTTTCAAACTACTATTTATTACAATAGCTGAACCGGCGAACGTTGTTTGCTATATACCTACATTTATTTCTAGAAAATATTTTTTTAGTTGAATATTGATTATTCTATTTTCTACTTCTTTTTAGTTTGGCTATCCATAAGAACGTGTTCCCTCGGTTTTTCGATATGAACTACTATTCATTTATTTTCTACATCTTTTTAGTTGGACAATCTATCTCTTCAGTTTTTTAAACTATACTATATATTTTCTACTTATATTCTGTTTGGCCTCAAGTTTGGCTATCTATGAATGTGTGTTTCATAATAGTTTTCCGAACTACTATTTATTGAAAGCTCGTTCGCCATATTGGATCCGCCATCTTGAATTTCCTGACTTTGAAGAAACAATCATAATCTCCGACCCCGAACACCCCCAGATGCAAATTTTGAATAGCTACTCATTATTACAAATCTCGTCCGCCATATTGGATCAGCCATCTTTAATGTCCTAATTTTGATGAAAGAATCATGATCTCCGACCCCGGTAACCCCCATATACCAGTTTTGTATAGAATCGGATCATAATTTCAAAACTCGTTCGCCATATTGGATTCGCCATCTTGAATTCCCAAAATTTGACGTAAGAATCATAATTTCCGACTCCGAAAACCCCCAGATACCAATTTTGAATAGAATCTGATCATAATTAAAAAACTAGTCTGCCATATTGGATCCGCTGTTTTAAATTTCCTAATTTTGACGAAGGAATCATAATCTTTGACACCGAAAACCCCCAGATACCAATTTTGAATAGAATCGGTCCATATAATTACAAAACTATATTGGATCAGTCATCTTTTGACTTTCCAAATTTTCACGAAAGAATCATAATAATCGACCTCGAAAAACCCCAGATACCAATTTTGAATAAAATCGAATTACAAAACTCGTCCGACATGCTGGATCCCCCATCTGAATTTTCAATTTGTTAAATAGTACACGACCGATTCTCATAGACCTATCAAATGTGCACAAAAATTTTAAAATTTCCATAAGAATCGGCCAAGTCGTTTTAGAGGAGTTTGGCGTCAAAAACCGTGACAGTGCAGGAGAATTTTATGTACTCGATCTTTCTATTTTAATAATGTCATTCTGTAATATTGAAATGCAGATCATTTAACCACTATATTCCACTTCAAAGTCCATTTTATCCTCAGAGCTATATACAGGTTGGTTGAATTATTTCAAATTTGTGCAATTTTATGCCAAACAAAATGCTGTTTTGAAACTTGGAAAATTCCGAACACTTTAGAGAAGAAAATTTCCTAAAATCTTCATTTGTTTGGAGTTATTTGAAGAAATAAAACAAAATGAATGACATTTCATCACGGCCATTTTTTCTTTCCCATAAGTTTGGGTTTTCAAATTTGGAATCCGACGTTTCGTCTTCCACAAACCATCATCAACTTATTTTGTTAAATAGGGAACTGGATTTTTCATTTTTTCATTCGATTTTTCCTTATCTTTGGATAACTCTAAAAATTCTCGAATGTTTAGTTCACAGAAAATGGCAGTTTCTGTATTTTTTTATCATTTAATAACAAGAATGTTTGTTTTTCTGCAACCGACACAAAAGTCTTCCATTTTAATACCATAATTAGCTTTTGAATTGACGTTTTTATCACTGATACATAAAAATAGATATGTTGCTAGGCAACACATTTATTTCCTAGGAGCTAACGTTGAATTTTAGATCCTAGGAACTGAAAAGGATGTTCTAGAGGTCATCAAGAATAAACAAAATTGTTATGGTTGGTTATTTGGGTTGGGACGCATACCTGATTTGTTTCCGATTTCGGCAGATTTGGCATTTCATACCCATGCTGGAGATATAAATACACCTTATTATAGTTAAGGGTAAAACTGCATTTAGCATGCGATGGGTTTTTTTTCGAAAATTTTTTTTGGTACTTACGTATTTTTGTCTGAAAAACACGAATTTGATAATGAAAATGTGGACAAACCATTATTTATCAAGATATTTCACTATAAAGTTACAAATTTCACCTTCTTTTCCGCCTGTCTTCTGGATTGAATTTAAAACAATTTACCCTTCTTTTTTCATCATTGGACAATTTATATATATCACAATGTAAGACACATTTTTTTCTATTATTGAGTCAACTAGAAATATGATTTTCTTGTGATTTATCCATATTTATTGAAAAGAAGGAAGAATAACATTTGAAATAATGGCGTGTGTAATGTCATTCCAAAGCAATCTATTGACATTTGACATCTCGTATTTGGATTTCCTATGGATAAAATGGTCGTCATCTGGTATGCTTGCTCACTAAATAGGAAAAACTCACTATAAAAATCATATTTCCTGTTGAATTTTCTGTATAAAAATGTGGCATTGAAGTACATCATGAGTATATAAAGTGTCCAATGACAAAATAAGAAGAGCAAGTACCTGAAAATGCATCCAACGCAAGGGGAAAAAGGAGTCGAAATTTCGAACTTTTTTTTGAAATATCTCGATAAATAGTGGTTTGTTCATATTTTCATTATCAAATTCGTGTTTTTCAGACAAAAATACGTAAGTACCAAAAAAAAAATTTCGAAAAAAAAACCCATCGCATGCTAAATGCAGTTTTACCTAGTTATTTTTTTTGTTTTGATATGCGAAGCCTTCAAGATTCACATACTTGCTTGATCTGTATTTCATTCGTTATTCTCGGGATGGATTACTTGTTTTTGAATAATCACGGCCATCTGATCAAGCCAACCACAGTGAAGTATGGAGAGAAATAAATAATCGCAATTATTATTGTTGATATGCTCACTAACCTAACATTTTCCACGTCTTGTTCCTATACCTGGCACTGGCACGGTATTTGCCATTAGAGTACCTGGTCCATACACAAATATGTCACTCTGTGATTGTATTTATATTGAAACTACAATTCGAACATCCTTGAAAATTTAATAAGAATATTCTCTTATTTGTTGCATTGCATACATATGGCACAGCATTGGTGGTTACTTCACATATTCATTTGAGTTAATTGTTTCGGTTGCAGAAAAAATAGCACGTTTCATTCGGATCAAAAGTGACTTTGTTTGACTCGCAAATTTTGCTGCCGCTCGGCTTCGCTAAACGCTTCGCCTAGCAATTGCAAAAATCGCTTGTCAAACAAAGTGTCACTTTTGATCCTAATGAAACAATCTACTTTTATTTCTTTAAGGGTTTATGCGACAACATACTAACCTGCATCGTTCGAGCCTGGGATCTTTCCAAACCTCTGATTTTTTGCCCTGCAATGAACACCAAGATGTACCAGCATCCCCTGACCGCTCAACAGATCTCAACGCTCAAATCTTGGGGGTACTATGAGATCCCAGTGATTGAGAAACAATTAATTTGTGGAGATGTGGGTCCAGGTGCCATGGCCGAAGTAGAGACTATCGTAGATTTTTTAAAAAGTGTGATGAAAGAGAAGAATATTGAGTGATATGTTCTATACTGCTGTTTTCTTTTTAATGAATTTTGTTATAGTGAATATGGTCTATTTGAAATAAAGGATAGTTATTAAAACTGCTTATATCTCATTTCAATCCTCAAAACAAGTAATTAAAAAATATGGCACCTACCTTAATTTTTCTACTCTCCAGTGGCGGCTCCTCAGAGGAGGCAACGGATGCTGAGCCTCCTCAGAGATTTTCCTCAAACTAATATTATCTATACTTTCTCATTAAAAGAACACCAATATACATGGATTTTATTTCCTGTTTTAAGTTAAATATTTTTGAATTGGCAACAGTGCTTGCCCACGCATCACACGTTGAAGTCTGCAAATCACGCGTGAAATATTCAACCTGGCAACATCTATAGGAGGCTAGACTCATTCACAAAGCGCATCCTACGCGCGCAATGCAAATGCCCGAATACGCCCGAATAGCACGTGTTTGTCGTGTCGCTTCCTTATTTCGGACAAACGCGAGTGCATTGTTTATGTTCATGTTGGGTTAATGGTTAGGGGCTCTATAAATTTCTGAAAAATTAGTGTTTTAAACGATTGCGATTTAGTGAAATACTTTTTGGTGAACCCATTCAGTGCTTTGTCTTATGAAGATAAATTGATTGTGAAAAACAAACGTACGACACCGGAATTAAAAAATCAGGTAACAACCAAAATCGTTCATTCAATTCTGATAATTGTAGCAAATATATCTGGTTGACGGGATCTGAGGTAAGGAATAAGCTATTTTCTTGGTACTGCGTATTATTTTCAACCGATAAGTCATCATGTTGGGGGCGATTAGGATATAATGATTTGAAAAATTTGCCTCGCGGATTGGATAGACACTGCAAATCACAGGAACACATCTCTTCAAGTATTACGTTCAGGTTAACTGGTAAACAGAATGTCATTAAAGCTATTGATGATTTGGGTGAGTAGAGAGTTGGTTTTTACAATAAATCTCATATCATTCAGCCTCTTATTCTATCATGAAATTCACGAGCCGCCACTGCTACTCACATAACTAAAATGACATTTAGAGTACGGCTATGTACCACGATAAATAATGGATTAATCAGGGATTTATCATCTGTGATTTATTCGAAATATTAAACACATTATCCAGGCTGATTCACGGCGGATGACACATTAGACGTTTCTGAAGAACACAACTCAGGATTATTCTGAAAAGTTGATGCCTTGAATAATTAGTTGTGTTCTATCGACCTAGAATATTCTCAGCCTTGCGACGTTGCCACTTATATTGAAAAGTAGCAGCAACTTTGCTATTTTCAATGGGACACCCTGTATATTATTCCATTTTCAGTTTCTTCCTGAAGAGCTGATTCCATCGATCTATAATACTTTGGGGTCTAGTGGGAATGATAACAAAGATATAGGGTGTGAAAAATCAAGATTTTTCAACTTTAAGAATTTGAAACTATTCATAATTGGTCAAAACGGTTTCCATGTCCCTATCTTAACTTTTCACGTACTATTAATTGTTATATTATTGAAATAAATACAGGGTGGTTCAGAATTATGATTTTTGGTCTTTTTAATCTATGGTATTACCATTATAATATTATTGTTTGATAAATAACTTTCTTCTCAAAAACCTTACCCTGAAAACAAGAGGCGTATAGAGTGCCAAGCATTTAAACTAACTTATTCTTCAATGTCAGTTTTAAAAATACCTACCATTTCCTATTCAAGAAGAAGATTGTCAATTGAAAGAACACTATAAAAGGAATCCTGATTGGCGATAAATCAACATTTTCGCAAGTTTCATCGAAAACTGATCAAAGTGCTTTGTTTATTTGCGATTTCATTAGTTTGCTGAATTACAATCAATTCGGTTGATGACGTCACAGTGTTGCCATATATTTTATATTGACTCAAAAATAAATGTCTCGTGCGCCGCCATTTTGAAAACAAATGTTAACTTGTGATATATGCAGTGGCGTAACTACTATACCGCGAAACCCCGCGGTTGCGGGGGGGCCGTTTTTCGGAGGGGGCCAATCAGAGCAAGGACTCAGCCAAATTGGTTGATACATGAATAGTTTCTAATTATGAATATGCCACAAAAATAATTTTTCCATTTCTGCGAATAGTGCAGGCATGTTTTTTCAGTGTAGGTACAGGGTGATGTGTGAAATCAACGATACAAGCTAATTATTTCAATTGGAGAACTTGATTAAAACTAGTAGTGCTTCGAAAAGAAGGAGGAAACAAGAATTTGAAGATGAGAAGTGTGAAATTTCCAAGATTACCACGTTTTTTACGAATACTACTACTGTTTCGGATAATACAGTTGAATATTATGATGAATGTCCATCAAGTAGTAGCAGTATGATGATTGAAACTGAAATGGATGTTGACTCTGCAAATATTATGGAAGAAAAACTATTATTCCAGATTTTTAAGGATTTTCTCTCCTCGTTTCTATAAAATATAAATATGAATATTATTTCAATATTTGCTCTAGTAAGGACAAATCAGATGATTTGCCCCAAAATGTAACTGCGTTTAAAGAATTTTCCTATTAGAGAGCCTGAAAGAAAAATGCACTAGCTCGTCAGTGACAATTTGTGAGTATTGAAAAAATTTTGGAGAAGAGAAATAAATGTATATAGCAAAAACATCAAATTTTTACTTAGCAAATAACGAGACATCTGCCACTACTGCATTTGAAACTGTAGGTACAGATGGTGTGAATATAAGAAGTATTATATCTGAAATCCACGAGGAGCCCATAACTGACTCGAATGCGAGAACTCCTGGAAATGGAACTGAGTCAGATGATTCATTAATGAATGTATCAATTAAAGAATCATTTCCTTGTGATAAAGGCAATTTCGTGGCCGAGAATTGAGCAACACGATAAAAATGTTTATTGTTCGTAATGGCCCATCTCAACCAGATATAAATTTTTCAAAAGAGGAGTTTCTCTAATTCTTATTATTTACAGAAAAGTCATGCTGGGCAAATTATTCCAAGAAAATGGTTGTGTTATTCACCCAAAGAATATACAAAGAATATAAAGCGTATTGTGAAGCTTTTTTGTTATTCAATATAACTAATAGTTCATGGAAAGAAGGGACTTCTGACTGGAAAGGTTTGTCTCGAGGGGGTCCAGAATGATTTTGGCGGGGGGCCCAAAATATGAAGTTACGCCACTGGCTATATGTCTTTAAATATGGAATTTTCAGCTTTATCGAATGGCGCAAAAATATCCACAGGGTGCCATTGAAATTTTTTGATTGTTTTTCCATTGAAAATGTTTCAAGGAACTATTATTATATCTTCGATCTAAATGGTCAGAAGTCTAACATAAAAAACAAACTGAATAACGCGTTCCCAGCAAACATACATTTGCGGTAAACTGAAGGCCCAATACATTGCTCCCATAACTAGATGTTGCGGCAAAATGACTAACGTTGGTACGGGGCCATCAAGAAAAGGACACTCTGGCCGACGGTTTCCCGACGGTCAATCAGCCGGCATTCATTCCATTGATGGGCTTTCAAATCCCCATACTGGCATATGAACGAAGTATAAAAAATGTCTCGACTTTGGATGATAAGATTGCGATCTGATAAGATCTTCATTTTGGGGGTTGACCTTATACATTTTCGTGACTTGGAAGCGCTGATGGTCCATTCTCCAGGTGTCCTATCCAGTCAGTCGTATTTTTGCAACGGCTATATCGTTGGAATATCCCTATGAGAACATGACTAGCTACTCGTATTAGTATCTAAACTCATGTAGTGAGTATCGGTGAGATGTAAACGAATCGAAACGGATAAGAGAATATTTCAAACTGATATATATTTTGATGACAATATTTCAACTATATAATACTTTGATATTCTGGGAGAAAAAATCCATTATATCATTCCATTCGGATAATCTTGGATCCTTCTAGAAAAATATACAGTATGTCTGAAAAACTTGACTATAAATTAAAAACTTTTTCATTATTAATTTTAGGAAAAAAATTCATTTGACATAAAAACTTTTGCAAGGCCTAAAACCAAGAATGCAAATATCAGATATCGATTTTTGTATACGAGGTATGTCAAAAAATAAACTTTGTTCAAGTGTAAATAACGTAGTTCTTATTTTCTATAATATCGAAGATTATTATCATGTGAAAAGGTTTACGAGAACTGAAAACTACGGAAAACTACGTTCAAATATCTGATAACATCTATATTCACGATGAGAATCATGTATTATTATTTATTACAATACTTTCTGATCGATTCATATGGCAAACTATTATATTATTAATTTTGCAGAAAAAAAGCGAGGAAAAAAGCATCCTTTACTAAAAGTTCTTCGAATTCTAAAATCAATAATAAATCAAAAAATCACTAATTTCTGTAGATCTCATACTCACGACTTAATTGAAATGATCTTATATGATGATCCACTAATAATCCCATATTATGATTATCCTCAAATATGAAACTTTTCTTGGAACATACATTTTAGGTTTTTAAGGAATATAAGTTCTTTCATCGTTCTTTCTTTCGTATGATTAAGAGAATACTCAATGACCATACAGTGTTATCTGGAACATATAGGTTGAATGCCCAGCATTGGCCTTTTTAAAGATTGAGTAAACGAAGTTGTTGTATTTCCCGGCAACACCAAAGTCAATAAAACGATGAAGGGCCAATACTTATTTGCTTCACTGGCAAAGTGACTACAAGAATGTGAAAGGCCAACAGATTTTTGCCTCTGAAGTCATTTCTCCAGCAAAGAAAGCATTGGTCCACTAACTTCCCGGTAGGTCATTGTTTGTTGGGTTGGCTCTGGCCATCAATGATTTCTTGGTCACCCAGTAAACAAACGACAAGTATATCGTCGGTGAAATGGCAAAACCAAGTAACTGCAAAAACCAGAAGTTTCAGGAGACACTGAAGTAAAAATTATTTCGGGTTAACTGATCAGATATTGAATAAAAAATAGTTACAAAT